GGCACTTCATCTGCGGTTCTCAAGGTACTCGGCTGTGTGGGGCGGCCTCTCAGGCTTGAATAAGCGGAGGAACGTCCATCGCACCCTGAGGCGGGCAGCCTGCAGACGTAGTCACAGCAGCCGTGGCAGATTGATGGAGCCAGCAAATCCTTTCCAGGCTTTTCTTATAAAGCTGGACAGTTTGAACCCTCCCAGGAGGCTTCAGCCAATTGGTTCTGTGCTCCAGGCCCTGGTACACAATTTCTGGGAATCCGATTAGAAATGGCACCTGGGGGGCTGGCCTGGCCTCATCCCCCAGAGCTCCCGTCCTGGGCACTGAGGAAGCAGCATGTTTCTGAGGGTGGGGCACGGAGGAGGGACGTGGCAGACCACCGTCAACTTCCACCCACTAGCGTTCCCATCAGGAGACTAGAATGAGAGCCCCAAAGTCCTCAGACAGCAGCTGTGGGGCTTGGTAGAAAAAGGAACAGAGGCCCCAAGAAGGCAGTCATATGCCTGAAGTCACACAGAGGTTTAACGGCAAAGCTGGAGCTTGAACGCTGGTCTTTGGACTCCAGGCTGCCCGCAAGCTACCACACAGGCCCACACAGCTCAGACTAGGAGCGAGCCGGGATGCTGAGCCTGCAGTGGACAGGCACCTTTGGCAGGGAAGGCTCACTGCCTTTGTCTGAGGCAACGTCCACACAGGCACTGCGGTAATGAAGAGCCATGGTCTCAGCCTCAGGGGCCCAAGCCCGATGCAGGCCTGGCCCCTTCAGCAGCCCTGATAAAAAGGAACCCTCTCTCAAACCCAGCAGGCCCTTGACTGCCCACAGCCAAACCATTGCCCAGAGGGGCTGGTGGGTGGTGAGAATCCCACTACCCCCATAAGCCCCCTAGTGCATGGCAGGAAAGCCAGGCTGGGGACATTGGTTGGGACTACAGCCCCCAAACCTGCTTTCCTCCCAGGAGACCAGACTTTTAAAGGCCAGGATGCTCATGGACCTGCTGGGGCAAGCCCTGGGGTCAATGCCCAGAGGTGGCACTTGCTTTGGCTTGGGTGCCAAGGAGGAGAAGCCTTTGATGTGGCCTCTGTGCCAGCTCAAGATTCTGGTTCCAGCCATCACCAGATGGCCAAAAAGGGACCCTGGTGGCCCCTTGGAACATCCCGGAACAGGCTGGAGAGGGGCTGCCAGGCCCTCCACCCTGGCAATGCTGCCTGTCAAAGCTTCCTTCAGACTCTGTCAGACTGTGGAGGGAGGGTGACAGGGAGGTGCCTGTGGAGATCAGAGCTGGGAAAATAGCCCTCCACCCTGCCTCCTCCACTCCGGGCCGGTGTGTAAAGCACAGCCAAGCAGCCACCTCCCAGCCTCCCATGCCACCCGCAGGGATGGCTGCTAACATGTTCCTCAAAGCCACACTGACCCCAGAAGCTCAGGCTTCTGCAGCTAGAGAGGTCCTCTTATCCACCACTTCTGTTTTACAGAAGTAACCAAGCCTGGGAAAGGGCAGATCCCGGGCATTAAGAGAACACCCACCTGCTCCAGCCCACCTGGTCTAGAGGCTGCTGGGTGGGCGTGTCCTGGCTGGCCCCACCCTGGGACGCGGGAGAGAGATGTGTCCATGGGGGATTGTCATCCCTGACTTCTCTCTCTCTGTTAGGGTCCCCCTTCTGGGCCATGCCCCATCTCCAGAAGCCACCAGACCACAGTACTGGAAATTCTCCCTGGCTCACAGCTGGGCTGGCCCGCCCACATTTTCCACCCCAGGGCCTCTTAATCTGGAATCCTGGGAGCCCAGATGAGACTTGGAGCACCTGCCTGGGGCTGTGAGAGGGAGGCAGGACCCCACCCCAAGCCAGATCTCAGGGCTCCTTGGCTTTACTGATTCAGCATCTGCTTAAGATTTTAGAAAGAAACATGGGACCACAGCTCAAACCGCATCTGACCCTGTAGAACTGTGGAAGCTGAGGCCTTGTAAGAATTTAGTCTAAAGATAAAATCATTAGCAGCAAAGTGTTCCCTATTCAGTCTCTCTCTCCCTGATTCACACACACACACACACACACACACGCGCGCGCGCGCGCGCGCGCGCGCTCCTGGCCAGAACCACGAGCATGCCCACACTCACCCATACTCAAGAAAAGCGTTTTCTATTTTTTTGTGTTGTTTTTTCATTTTCTTTTTCTTTTTTTCTTAAAAAGGACTTTATCCAAATATCTGGATAATAAATCATTTGCGTTTCCTAAGAAACTGGGCTTTCTTTTCCCTTGTGGTTTTGGTGTTTTTCTTCTTTTTTTGAGCCTTACTAGCAGTCTGAAGCTTTCTTTCTTTCCTTCTTTCTTTCCTCTTCCTTTTTGCTTGTGGACAGGAGAAAGCAGTCTGTCTGAACTGTACTTGACTCTTCGAAGAGGAAAACAGTGTGAAAGGAGAAAGGGGCTTAGGAGGAGGGAGAAATCAATAGCTGAGGAAAAAAGTGAACAGCACAACTAAAACAGACGCACCCCAGACACCCTGGGGCACAGGGTGGGAGGGCCACCTCCTTGCTCCCCTAGCTGCCTCCGGAGGCCCCATCCCCACCCCGGTTCCTGCACAGCGGGCTGAGGTCAGGAGAGACAGCAGGAGGTGGAGCAGGACCGCTGGGTCCTCCCAACAACAACGTCCATGGATTTCCTAAGGCTGGTCGTGGTCTGGGGGGGGCGGCAAGGGGAAGAGGAGGAGGAAGGGTGATTCTGGCTGTGAGCTCGGGAGCAGAGGAGGCCCAAATGCCCCACAGGAGGTTGCCCTGGGCCTGCCTGTGCCAGCCGCCTGCTGGTCCCTAACAGCCCGTGGGTTTGGGGCAGCTCAGCAGTCCCCGTCGGTGGCCATGGCCACCAGCATCTCGCTCTTGCCCATCTCCTCCAAGGCACTCGCCAGGCTGTTGAGGTCCCCGTCGTCCTGCTGCAGAGCTTCCCAGAGGTCGAGGATCACACCCGTGGGGCTCGCTTTTGTGGCAAAGTAGTTCAGGTACCTGATGGAGGGAACGAGAAGGACACTGGGCTCCCCAAATGCTCAGCCACTCCCAGGAGCCTGGGGTGGAGGGAGCACTGGGGGTACATCCCAGGAGCACCGGGACGGTGGGCTCCGGGCTCCCACAATCCTGGGTCTGAATTCCAGCCCCTCTGCTTGCAGGCTGTGTGGCCCTGGGCAAGTCACTGCTCCTCTCTGAGCCCCAGTCTCATCTCTAAAATGGAAACTGTCCTGCTCATCATCAGTCACCAGCATCGTTATTACTATCATTGAAAGACACCGGCCCCAGGAGAGGCTGTCCAAACCTAGCACTCCATTCTCTCTCTCTCTTCATCCCACATTCGTTCTCTGCCTGCTCTCACCTGCCCCATGCACTGCCCTGAAATCAGGAACAAAGCCTTTGACATCCTTATAGATCCCACCCATTTTTAGTAAGATGGCTTCTACATGGCATCTGCTCAGTGCAGGTTTATTAAATGGCTTCTCAGTAAGTGCACCATAACAATAATGATGACTAATTGCCATTATATTTATCCAGCATTTTAAGTTCTCCAGAAGTGTTCTGACACCAGGATGCGTTCTGTCACCCAGCAAGCATTTCCGAAACACCTGCTCTGTCCTGGACACAGGACTGCTGACGGTGATCACGCTTGGATGGTATCCTGGCTTTACCTGATTCTCAAAGGCCAGCACTCTGAGCACGATGCTCCTCAAGGAACCAGCTTCTCAGACTTAGCACACCCAAGCCTGAGCTCCTGGTCTACCGCAAATGGCGGATCCACTCCTGGACCATCAGGCTGCCTGCCCCACCTGGCCCATGGGGACAGAGGGAGGGGGGCGGCTCTGGTCCAGGCCGGGAGGGCTGTCCCGACACTCACCGGTCCATGGAGAGCTTCTGCGCCAACAACCGCCAGTCATTGCCGCGCGAGTTGGGGGCGTCCAGGCTGTTGCATATCTTCTGGCGGATGGAAACGGGGATCTTGAAGGCGTAGGGTCCCAGCTGGGTGGTGACTGCGCTGCTGAGGGCGGAGCAGAGGGCGTCCAGGGAGCCAGCAGGCGTCTAGAAGAGCAGGCGGTAAGGGTGAGAGGGGCAGAGGGCTCCCTGTGCACGGCTCACTGGGCATCTGCCCCTCCAGCCTTCCTGCCGGGGGACTGTGAGCTCTTGGAGGCTCCGGCCGCTCCCCCGCCTCTGGGCAGGCTCCAGCTGCTCAGTCAAAGGGCTCCTCCCCTGGAGGGTCAGCTCTCCAGGGCCAGGGCTGTACACCCCCTCCCCGCCCTCGGGGTGCACATGCTAATGCACTGCCTGGGCCAGTGCTGATGCCACCTCGTGATTACAAAGCCACGAGGGGCCTTGGCCCCAGTCTAATCCACGTGGACCCCCTTTTACACAAACGCAAAATGAAGTCTGGAAAGGAGAAGTGACTAATCCATGGTCACATGCCACGCTAGTGGTAGAGCTAGGTCTAGACCAGGGGTCCCCAGCCGCTCCGGGCCGCACAGCAGGAGGTGAGTGGCGGGGTCGGGCGAGCGAAGCTTCATCGCCGTTCCCTATCGCTCGCATTACCGCCTGAACCGTCCCCCGCACCGACCCCCGTCCGTCCGTGGAAAACCTGTCTTCCATGAAACCGGTCCCTGGTGCCAAAATGGTTGGGGACCGCTGGTCTAGACTATATCCTGTGCTCTTTACAATGTACTGCAAGGAGGGCCTAGCCCTGCTCCCTGGGTGGCCTAGGTTTTATAAACCTCAATCCGGATTACAGTGGTGGAGAGCCACAGGCTTGGGCCAAGCGTTGGCTTGATACAAGGTCCTGATACCTGCCCTCCCTAAAACCTTCCTTCTCATCTCCCAGGTGGGGATCCTCGTATCTGTCCCCCTGGTGGTTGGTTGTACAGATTTGGTGAGATTTGGTACAGGCCAAGCCCAGGCTCGGCACTCAGTAAGTCACAGCTGTTAGCAGAGTGACCAAGTCCCAGCTCAGACTCGGGAGGTGAGGGGCACAGCTCTGCGGGAGGTGGCCTTTCCCCCAGGTGAGGGGGAGCCTGGGGTCTGCACGCTGCAGTGCCCAGCCCCGTGGGGCGTCTGCTCTCCGGCCCTCACCTCTGCCAGCGTGGTGTGCAGCTGGAATATCTGGCCCTCCCCCTCCACCTGCCGCACGCAGATCTTGCAGGTGAGCTCCGTGGAGGCCAGGCTATGCCTCTCCAGGGTGAAGGTGCAGTGCAGGGCCTTCTGGCTGCCACTCCAAATGTGATAGAAGGGGATCTCCTGGGGGAGGAGGGGCAGGGTCAAGGAGGCGAGGCCAGCCTACCCTGCCCTCAGGGAACGGAGGCGGAGGCAGGTAAGGGGGCCAGCCTCAGAGAGGGCTGGGGCCTCTCCATCCAGGCGGACGGAGGAAGAAGAGCTGGGCAAGGGCCCTTCAGGTGAGAAGGGAGGATATGGGTGAGAAGGCACGAACCTGAATATGTGACTGTGTGGCTGCATGTGTCTGGGTCTGGGAAGCCTGTGGACTCAGTGGTGTCACACAGATGGGCACGGGCAGAGGGATGTGACCATCAGAGATTAGTTTGCACAATCTGCCAGCCACGAACGCTCTCAGAGATGGTAAGGTCTCTTTAAAGATGACGGGTACAGACATTTGTGTGTGGGAGTATGTGACAGGGGTGGCAGGGGGAGGGAGACAGAGAGAGACACAGGGGTGGGAGTGGGGACCAAGGCTGCAGGACCGAGGGAGGAGGCAGGGCGGGGAGTTGGTTTTCTCTGCGCAGCCCCCCAGGTGTACCCCTCCCCAGCTCCATCCCTCCCCCTCCTTCGGCCCAGCACTCACCTGGTACTTGGCCAGCAGCTTGCTCCTCCAGTGGGCGTGGGGCAGGTCGTGGAGGGAGAGGCGCAGGTTATGGTAACTGTCCTTAAACAGCAGGGGTTTTGGCTCCTCCACTAGGTAGCCACCCAGGGTCCGCTCCAGCTCCAGCACCTCCTGTGGGCCAGGGAGCAATGAGAAGGGGGAGCCCATCACATTTGGCCAAAGGGCCCTTTCCTTCTGCAAGTCTGGGGCTTGGGGACACACGTGGGCAGAGGGAACTAGGCTGTAACATTGAAGGCAGGGAACCATCTGAGCCACAGGGCTGGGATTTGGTAAGTGCTCACAGAAGACTTACTGTGTGGACAGATGCATGAATGAATGGATGGAGGGAAAAATAGATGGATGAATGGACAGATGGTGGGACAGGTGGATGGATGAGTGGATTTACAGGTGACTGAATAGATGGACTGATGGATGGATGGCTAAGTAGACGGATAAATAGACGGGTTGACAAATGGATGGATAGACAGATCAACAGAGACAGGCAGACAAAATGATGTGCAGATGAATATACAAATGGATGGGTATAGAAACAGAACAGATGGAAGAAAAGATAGATGCGTGGATGAGTGATGGCTGGATGGACAGATTGATTATGGACTAAATGAATACACAGACAGATGGGCAGAAAGCTGGGTGGATGGATGGATGCATGGATAGATGGGTGAATGGATGAATGGATGGACAGACGGATGGATGGGGACTGAATAAATAAAGAACACCATCAAGCCAATATGTGGCAACTTCCCCCTTGATCCATTCTCTGACTATAACTAGATGTGAGCCAAGGCCCTAATACCAAGGGATCCAGGCTGCGAGAGCATTTCCCAGGAGCCTCTAACCTATTATGGGCCTCCTGCAAGTTCAGGTCAGCCTGGTCCCAGCAGAAGACGCCCACTCTCCCACAAGGCCTTTTAACCTGTGTTGCATCAGTCGGCAACTTGGAGTTTGAGACAAGTCACATGAGACTGAGAGGCAAAGGAGATAGAAAGGCCCACAGATCGTGGGCTGGAGGAGGCCTGGAGCTACAGGAAAGGAGAAGGCTTCATAGCAGCAGGGGATGGAAGGATGGAGAAGGAAAAGGGGTTTAAATAGGGCCAAGGCTCTGTGCTCTTCCACTGTTTGTCAGGATGAGACTGAGATCCTGGGAACTGGTGGGAGGGCTGGGCAGAAAATGGAGAGGGTCTTAGGGGCTGGGGGGACAGGGTAACACCTGCCGTTATCAGGTTCTAGGTGCTAAAATCCGGTCCCTTCACCTTCTCTCTCTTCCTGCCCCCAACCCCTTCTCATCTGCCATGCACCCCCCTCGCTTAAGGGCACTGTCCGTTCTTTTGCACACACTAGGAGCTTGGCTGTCAGCCGCCACCCCCCACTCCGTTCCTCCCATCAGTCACTGTTTCTGTCCATTCTACTGACTAAACAGACTCCAGGCCCCTCTCCAGCTGTTGTCCAGGGTCCAGCTGCAGCCTCCCAATTGGTCTCCCTGCCTCTTGTCTACCCATCCCCACTGCTTAGCTCTCAAAAGAGCACCCATGAACAGGTGTCCACCGGGTCTCTGCCCCCGCCCACCGGATAGGTTCCAAATTCCTTGCCACGACCCTAAGGCTGTTGGGAGGCTGAGCCCTGCCTGTCTCTCCAGCCCCACCTCTCACACCCCTGCACGCTTTGGCACACAGAACAACACACCTGCCTCTGCATAAGCCGCTCTGTCTCCTGGAATGCGCCTCTTCCTTCTCTGCCCGGAACACCCGCCTGTCCCTTGGAGCTTAGGTCTAAGGTCAGCCTTGCTGTGAAGCCTTCTCAGACCCCCTCCCCAACAACCAGGACCTGCCAGCCCCTCCCAGACTGATGTTCCCTTAGCCCCGCATCAGTGATCCCCTGGTCTGTCTCCCACCTCTAGCCCGCAGCTTGGTGAGGGCAGAACTGTGCCCAACTCATCTCTGTATCTTGAGGATCTGATGCGATTTCAATGTTTGAGGAACAAATGAATGACTGAATGAGGCTGATGGTGGCAGAGCGTGCCTGGCAGGTACCATGATCCTGGGGAGGGGGATACCGGAAGATACCAGGCAGCTGGCCGGCTGTGGGTGAGGTACCCGCAGCGTGCAGGCCCGTGTGGGTACCCATGGCCTGGCCTTACCTTCAGTGCTACGGGCGTGTCCTCCAGGCAGTAGACCCTGAGGCTGTACTCCAGAGAGGTGCAGAGGGCGGGGGCGAAGATGGCCAGCTGGAGCCGCTTGACTGCCAAGCGGGAGTAGGACTCACCCGTGAAGACGTAGGTGCCCAGCTGGTCCAACAGGATGTGGCAGGACCTGGCCTCCAGCTGGCAGTAGCAGGGGGTGTTAAGGGTTTCCTCATCCAGGGTGACCACCTCCTGCAGGGTGACAGTGGGGGTGAGGTGGCTGTACCAGCCAAGGCCCTGGAGAGGGTCCGGGCAGGTTGGGTTAGGGGACCCGGCCGCCCGGCCTTGGCTCCTCACCTCCCAGTGGCCCTGGTGGGCCTGGGTCTTGAGCTGGAAGATCCAGTCACCGGCACTGACTTCAGCGCAGTGTGGCACCGTGAGGATGACGGGGCGGCACAGCAGGAGGCCCGTGGGCCCGCAGGTCACCGAAGGGCTCAATACTGTCTGGGTCCCTTCCGAAAGCGGGCTGGGGTGGGATGGAGGGCAAGAGGGAGGCGGTGAGGGAGCGATGCTGGCCTCCCCGCTCTGCCCCAGCTCCTGGGATGGGAGAAGGCAGGACTGCGCCCTGGGGGCTCCCAGAGGCCATGGGTTAAGGAAAAATGGCACCGGCCTTGAGATCGTTTCTAAATTTTTGCTATTACTCCGCAGTATTCTCATAGCCAAATCTTTGCTCCCATTTTCAAAGGTTCTGCACTCCAGGGATGTTGTGGATAGGTGCTGCTAAAGTGCCCTCTGGAAAGCTGGTACCCATCCATGCTCCCACCGACACACCTTGGGAGGGCTGTGTTCCCATTCTCTCACCAGTATGAAGGTATTATGACATCTGAAAATAGCTTTGCAAGCTGATGAAGCAAAAAAACTTCCAGTGTCTTATGGCTGTCTGAATGACTATTTCTTTGACTACAAATTAGGTCAAACATTTTCTCATAACCTATTGGCTGCTATGTGTGTGTGTGTGTGTGTGTGTCTGTGTGTGTGTCTGTGTGTGTAAGAGAGAGTGTATGTGAATCACTTGTTCATATCCTTTGTCCATTTTTGTACCGAGATCTTCAGTTTTTCTTATTGGTCTCCCAAACCTCTTTACATAGTGAGGATAGTAGCCCTTTGTCATATTGTAGCCAGCTGGTCAACTAGCTTTCAGTTTTATGATTTGTTGTGCTGGTTTTGCATTGTTTAAATGTGTACATAATAAGATCTAGCAATGTCTTCCTTGGAGAACTACCTCTGGCCTTAGCATTGGACTTAGAAGGGGAGACGGTGACATTTGAGCCCAAGGTGGGCAAGCAGCAGGGAGAGAGAGGCCGAGGAGGGGGCAGCTGGGCTGGGGCTGGGGTCTCTATACTCACAGGGTGTTTTCTGCCTTGTTGATGAGGAGGTACATCTCGTAGAACTTGCCCTGGGGAATGGCTCCATTGGGCACCAGCAGGCTGACCCCTAGGGGGAGAGGGAGGTCAGTAGGGAGGGGCTGGAGGGAGTCCAGGAGCTTAGAACAGGGGATGGGGGGTTGGCCCCCATCTTGGAGCAGGGAGAGAAAGACATCTGAGCTCCTGGTGGTCACCAGCAAGGAGTGGGGAGAGGGGACTGGGTGCAGGGAAAGGCCAGGTCACTGACTGCAGAGGGGCTGTCAAGTAGCACAGGGGCCACTGGCATTGCGATGGGGTGTAGAGATGGGGCAAAGACCTGGAGTCTGAAGGTGCAGTGCCAGCCCCAGCCTAGCTAAGTGTATGACGCTGGGAAACTGTCAACTGCTGGCTCTGCAGCCTGAGCTGGGCAGCCCTGCCTTTTCAACAGCCCTCTGTAGGTTTGTTGACTACATCGGGGTATTCCTTCCCACTCACCTGATGGTGAAACTGAGGTTTAGAGAGTTCCCCTGCCCTTGTGAGGCAGAGGCAGGCCTGGACTCCAGGTCTTCTAGTTTATAATCACTTCTTCCCCTTGGGCCTCACTTTCCCCATCTGTGAAATGGGACCAGGGAAGCCCTATCTTCTGCTGGGTGAGTGTTGGGACTGTCTAGAGGGGACATGCTGAGGCCAGACTGATGGGCGAGCAGAGCAGGGACCCACCTGTGTCAGGGATGCTGAGCCTCCCGCCCAGGCAGCCAAAGGTGCCGCTGACACTGCTCCCCGGGTCACGGGGCATGCCCAGGAGCTGCTGGGAGCCGAGGCTGGCACTGCGCAGGTGCAGGAAGTGGGCATCCCGGGCAAAATCACCAGGGTACGTGCCGTCTGCCAGGCCTGGCCCAGAGCTGGTGGTGCTAGAGTTGTAGACCTTGATCTTGAGGTTGGGCAGGGAGTCCAGCAGGGGTGAGTTGGTCATTGGGATCTTGTCGGCCGAGTCCTGCAGGGCGTACATGGGTCCGCGGTAGATGCCGGCACTGGCAGTGAGGTCCGGAGGCACAGGTGGGTGCAGGAGCTGCGGGTTGTCTGCAGGGCCGGGGGCTGCAGTCAGACCAGCCGTGCCTCGCTGGCCCTGTCCCACAGTCTGCACCTGCCGGGGCGCCTTCCTTTACAAAATCCTACCCAAACGTCCAGCTCTGAAAGGTTCCATTGCCACCTGCGGCAGGAAGCTTAGGGACTCACCACCTGGGTTACTTCTTCTTTCCTGCATCTCTGTCACCAAACTCTTCCAGTGATCTTTAGAGAAAACTCTAGGAAAACCTCTTGAGGGAGTCAGGAGCCTCTGCTCTGGTCTGGCTGGCTGCCACACCCCCTGGGAACCCTGCCTGCACCCGCCACCCCAGGCGTTCCCAGGTCCTTACTGGGCCTCGCAGTCTTAAAGTTGACTGGGTGGAAGCCGCCAGTGAGGGCGGCGGACGAGTCGGTGATGTCGGTGTCGAAGTCCCGGCAGTTGCGGCGGTACACGACCACCCCTACCACCACGAGGACGGTCACCACCACGAAGATGGACACCACAAGGCCTGCGTACAGCGCCACATCCCCCGAGGACTCCAGAACTGCGGAGACAGGAGGGCTGAGTGAGGGCCAGGGGGCAGAGACCCTGGCCCTGAGGGAGCCAGAGATTCCCTTGGTCCCCGGGGAGAGGCAGGGCCTGGGACAAACTGGTGTTGTGCTAGGTTCTAATCTGAGCCCTGCCAGACAGGCTGGTGACCTCAAGCAAGCCCTGAACCTCTCTGAGCATCAGTCTCTATAAGTAAAATGGTCTAAATGTCCCTGCCCCCCTGCCCTGCTTCCCTCCCCGTGTGGCATGGAGGGGCAAAGGGACTCCTGGAGTTAACACTCCTGAGAGTTAACTCATTGCTCTCTGCCCAGGAGGTGACAAGGCGCCTGTGGCTCAGAGCCACAGGACCACTAAGTGTCCTCTCAGAGCTGGGATTAAGACCTAGCGCCTTACTAGCAGCCTGCAGCAATCTCTATAGGACCCAAGGCCCTGATTCCCAGAAATCTCTGCAAGTAGCCACTCTGAGCTCACCTTCCATTCTGTGCTGAGGGCAGGAGGTGGGCGGGGGTCGGGGGGAGGGATGGAGGGGGAACAGGACGAGGGGAATGAGATGCGTGGCAATGGGATGGAAAGGAGGGGAGCAGGTGGAAGGGAAGGAAGGGGCTCAGGGAGGCAACCCATGTCGACACTCCCTGCCCCCAGACAGGCTGCTGGGCTGGAGGAGGTCCAGCTCTGGGTGAGGGGCAGGGCAGGCTGCTGCTCAGCTAGAAGTAACTCCACATAGCTAGGCAAGGAAGTGTCGGGGTCAAGAGGCAGGGTCCAAAGCAGGGCTGCCCAACAGAACTTTCTATGATGATGGCACATCCCGTGCCTGCACTGTCCCCCATGACAGCCACTAGCCACGGGTGGTTATTAAACAACTAAAATGCAGCTGGCTTGACTGAGGAAATGCGCTTTTAAATATATTTATTTTCAGCTAAGATAAATACAATTTTCAAGCCACACGTGGCTAGTGGCTACTGCGCTGGACAGCACAGCCTAGCCAAGACGGCTGCCCTTCTCCTTGTTTCCTCTGGGAGCTCCGGGAAGCCCCCGTGCACGCCCTCCTCTCCCCAGGGGCCCTCGGAGAGGCCTCCTGGTGGAGGCCTGAGCTTCAGCAAGGTAGGGCAGGGCTCTCAGCCCTCATTTTCGCCCGCTTCTACCACCTCCTGGACCCCCATTTCTCCTCATCCTTGGGCTCCCCAGGAGAGCTTCCGGAGAAGGTCCCCAGGGCTGGGCTCCCACCTCTCTGGGGGCTTCACCTCATGACATCGTCACTAATCATGGGGGTCACTTGCCTGGTGATTTACAGTATCTAATCAGTCACCAGTCTGGCCCCCCTGTGAGTTGCACTGAAGGCCTCACTACTGATTTGATAATTCCAGAATTATTTGGAAATTGTGGTTTAATTACCACATGCCAATCTGCCCAAGCAGCTTTACTACAGCGGAGCATAGCCCCTGGGGGATGGATGATGAGCCCCCAGGGTCTGACGCAGAGCAGCGGGCATCCCAAGGACCTAGGAGGCTTCAGTTGGCTGCTGGGGGCACAGTGAGGGGCAGGTATGGGCGTGCTTGCTGGCGCCCTCCCACAGAGGACAACCAAGGGGTGGGGCTCAGAGCACCAGCTCTGGCCAAATACTTAGGTTCGAATCCCGGCTCGATCCTTGGGTATGTCCCTTCTCTCTGAGAATCAGTTTCTCCTCCTATAACGGGAGGGGTCAGGATGGCATCCCAGGGCCTTTCTGTCAGCCGAGGGTCTGCCTGTCTGACTGTGATGAAGACCATGCCACATGCAGCGTCAGGTGCTGGGAACCCCGTGGAGGGCTGGTAGTGGGCACCTTCATCTCTCCCTGCCCCTTGCCCTGCCCTGCAACCCACCCCCTGGAAAAGCCAGCTGAGGAAAACCAGGGATCCCCCCAGAGGAAAGAGAACAGCCATGAAATGGGACTTACGGTGGCTTTTGGGGTCACTTAGAGTTTTCTTATCTGTTGAGGGAAATAAAGGGAAAGACAATGACGCAGACGGCAGGGAAACGGTGGTAGAGGAGGTGATGGGGAGATGCGTGGATGAGATGACAGAGTAGCAGGCGGGCAGGGGCCCCGAGGGGCTGCTCCAGTGCAGGCTGGGGGGGGGGCCAGGGGGCCCTTATCTGGCTCCAGAGCCCCCACCCTGGGCCCTGCCTTCCAAGGACTCACTCTGTACGCACAGCCCATCGGTGCAATTCTTGGAGTCAAGCAGGGTCCCGCTGCAGTCCCGGCCTCCGTTCTGGGGAGGGGGCGCCATGCACTCGCGGCTGCGCCAGTGCGCACACTCGGTGCTACAGGCCGACCACTTGCTCCACTCTGTCCACGCGCCATCGACTGTGGGGACACAGCACGTGGTGCATGGGGACATGTGCATGCATAGAATGCACACACAGTTATGTGTGCACAACACAGCAGTGCACGTGTGCGCGCGCACGCGCGCGCACACACACACACACACACACACACACACACACACACACTGCAAC